GTGAGGAGGAAATGGCAACCCATTCCAGTATTCTTGCCTGGGAAATCCCATGGATACACTGAAGATTGTAAGGACACAAATGCTCTGCCTTACTGGAGAAGAGAGGAACCAGAAATCAAATTGCCAACATCTGCTGGATCATCAAAACACCAAGAGAGTTTCAGAAAAACATCTATTTCTGCTTTATTGACTATGCCGAAGCCTTTGACTGTGTGGATCACAACAAACTGTGGAAAATTCTTCAAGAGATGGGAATACCAGACCACCTGATCTGCCTCCTGAGAAATCTATATGCAGGTCAAGATGCAATAGTTAGAACTGGACATGGAACAACAGATGAGTTATAAATCAGGAAAGGAGTACGTCAAGGCTGTATATTGTCACCCTGCTTATTTAACTTTATGCAGAGTACATTATGAGAAACACTGGGCTGGATGAAGCACAAGCTGGAATCAAGATTGCTAGGAGAAATATCAATAACCTCAGATATGCAGATGACACCACTGTTATGGAAGAAAGTGAAGAACTGAAGAGCCTCTTGACAAAAATGAAAGGGGAGAGTGAAAAAGTTGGCTTAAAAGTCAAAATTCAGAAAACTAAGATCATGGCATCCAGTCCCATAACTTCATGGCAAATAGATGGGGAAACAGTGGAAACAGTGACAGACTTTATTTTGGGGGGCTCCAAAATCACTGAAGATGGTGACTGTAGCCACGAAAGTAAGACAATTGTTCCTTGGAAGAAAAGCTATGGCCAACCTAGACAGCATATTAAAAAGCAGAGACATTACTTTGCCAACAAAAGTCTGTCTAGTCAAAGCTATGGTTTTTCCAGTAGTCATGTATGGATGTGAGAAAAACATGGACTATCAAGAAAGCTGAGCGCCAAGGAATTGATGCTTTTGAACTGTGGTGTTGGAGAAGACTCTTGAGAGTCCCTTGGACTGCAAGGAGATCAATCAAGTAAATCCTAAAGGAAATCAATCCTGACTATTCATTGGAAGGACTGATGCTGAAGCTGAAACTCCAATACTTTGACCACCTGATATGAAGAACTAACTCATTAGAAAATACCCTGATGCTGGGAAAGATTGAAGGCAGGAGTAGGAGTGGATGACAGAGGAGAGATGGTTGGATGGCATCACCAACGCTATGGACATGAGTTTGAGTAAGCTCTGGGAATTGGTGATGGATGGGGAAGCCTGGCATGCTGCAGTCCATGGGGTCACAAAGAGTCAGACATGACTGAGGGACTGAACTGACTGGAGAACAGTTTGAACAAATTCTGGGAGACAGTGAAGGACAGAGAGGCCTGGCATGTCGCAGTTCACGGGGTCACGAAAGAGTTGGACACAACTTAGCACCTGAACAACAAGAAGAACAGAGCTACCTAAGTCCAACCCAGGAACCAGAAGGGCCGAGATATTGGAGAACTGTCCCAGGGAATTAGCACTGTCTTTCTTGGGCATGTTTTGGAAAAGCAGCCTGTCTGCTAAGTGTCTGCCATCCTTGACTCAAACCTATTTTATAGTCAAAGAAGCTGTGTTAGAGTGCTTGTGTGACTTTTCCAAGCTCATGCAGAAAGTAAAAATTAGAATTTGTGGTGAAGTTGGTCTTCTCTAATTTCATGTCTGTCATTCTTTCCACTACCCCACTGTGGCCTCTCTTTTCACTGATGTGGTGTGTGTGTGCCCCCGTGTGTGTTGAAATGGGGAAAGTGGACAGGGTTGGCCCTCACCTCTGTTAAATCTCTTTCTCTTCTAAATCCTTGGGGAGCACGCAGATGACCATCAGCACACTCTTCGTGGGCATCAGCTTTGTCACAGATCACAGGAGACCCACCTGCCAGCAAATCTCCAGGGGCCTTTCGAGATCTGAGTAGTTTCCCTCAAGCCCTTTACGCAGAGTAGCTACTTAAACAGAAGTAGAAAAAGTTATTGAACTACAGTGGAATTTCCTCCAGGATAGCAACATTTGGTTTATTCACATCTTACAAGGCAAGAACGAGGAAGAAGGCACAAGGGTGCGTCTTTGGACAGCACTTATTACCTTGGATTCTTCCGTCATGAAATCATGGTGTTAAGGACTGGACAGTGTCCCCTCAAAATTCATATATTGAAGCCCAAATCTCCTGTGTGAATGTATCTGGAAAGAGGACTTTAAAGAGGTGAAGTTAAATGAGGTCCTAATAGTGGAGCCCTGATCCAATATGACTAGTGTTTTCATAAGAAAAAGAGCCCCCACCACCGGGAAATATACACACAGAGAAAAGGACATGTGAGGATACAGAAGAAAGTGGTCCTCTGCCAGCCGAGGAGAGATGTCTCTGGGGAAATCATACCTTCTGATAGCTCGGTCTTGGGCTTCTAGCCTCCAGAAGTGACAAAATAAATTTCTGTTGTGTAAGTCACGCAGTCTAGTACTCTGTTATAGTAAATAGATAAAGATGGTTTTGGGCTTTCCTGGTGGTTCAGCGGTAAAGAATCCACCTGCCAATGCAGGAGACTTGGGCTAAATCCCTGGAGGAGGGCATGGCATCCCACTCCAGTGTTCTTGCCTGAAGAATCCCATGGACAGAGGAGCCTGGTGGGCCACAGTCCATGGGGTCACAAAGAGTCAGACACAACTGAGTGACTGAGCCCTCATGTACAGATGGTTTCCCTCATTATCCAGGGGTTGAACTGGCAGGTCCCAAAGTTCTTTGCTTTTTTTTGGTTTCCCTTTACTATTAACATTCTGAGCTCTGGACATTTCATAGATTGTTAGCCTCTCTATCTGAAGGGGAGAAAGCTCCTCAGGAGATCTAGAGCAGAAGGAGGTATATGGAACTTGTCAATCAGAAAACTTGAGGTCTTGGAAGGTGGTGAGGAATTCACCAAATTTCATGATCACCAAAGAATTCAAACTTCCTTCTGGGTGGGGGGAATGGGCTGTCCTCTTGCTTTTGAAAAACTCCATTTCTGATGCCTAAGACTGGCTACATAATTTGCAGGTTCAGTGAAAAATGGGAACATGGGATCCCTTGTTCAAAGACCATTGAGAATTTCAAGATGGCAACAGTAGAGAATTCAGCCCAGCATTGGCCACTTTGTAGCTGCCCAGGTTGCCTGCCCAGGGAAGCCGCCTTTGACTGCCTCTGCAATACCCCTCTGGACATCAGTGAGGCAAATCCATGTTGAAATCATCGACTGAAGAATGTTCTATAACATACACTGACTTTGGATCAATTTTCCAAATAAGGATAACGTTCAATCATATTCATTGAGTGACTTCCCTGGTGGCTCAGTGGTTAAGATTCTGTGCTCCCAATGCAGGGGGCACAGGTTCGATCCCTAGTCAGGGAACTAAGATCCCACAGGCCACAAGGTGTGGTTAAAAAAAAAGTGAAAAAAGAAATTATGTACATTTAGATCAGGACTCCATTTTACTTGCAAGGGATGAGTGTACCACAGAAACCTTAAGTTCATTTCTCTGAAACAGGTAAAGTTTAAACTCCTTTTATTTCAAGAAATAGTGCTTCTAGACTTTCCTGAAGCCAGAATTGTTCTATAAAAGTATCACAGAATATTACACAAGATTTTAAAAAACACAATATGCTTCCTAATAACTTGAAACCTTTTTTACAAAGCATGTCATTCATGACCATAAATATGTTTCATCTGTCATTCAGCCGGTGACACACACATCTGATAAAGAGTTAATTTTAACATATGTACAGAGTCTATGATAAAGACAAAGTTATCAAAGATTCAACTCTAACATATTAGGTTTTCTTTAAAAGAGTTTACCTTAAACACGTAAAGGTAACATAACTTACCTATGCATTTGATTATCTAAAAATAAAATGAAAATTACCATTAAGCTAAAAAATACCTTCTTGGGAAGTTGGCTAGGATACTGCAAACTCTCAGTGAGGTAATAATCCTTTTGCTGGTACTGAAACATCTAAATAGGACAAATATTTTCAAGAACACAGAATTTCAAAAGCAGTTTTCACTTATGCCTTTAAAAAAATCAGAACCTGGTGAAGGCCTTAAAAGTAACCATACAACACATATGGTGCATTTAAATTATGAAACATTCATGAGTTTGTTTTACTGAAGAAAAATTCCTTATATAAATTCAAAACTAGATATATTTTCTCAACACTTAAGCTTATTAGCCAGGTCAAGAAAACAAAACCAAGATTAAAAAAAAGTCTTCAGTCCTTTTATCCTGTTAAGCAAATAATAAAATTTTAGCAGTTTTAAGCAGATGATGAACACTTTGAGGCTAGGCACAGAGAAAGCAGGCAATCTTTGTTTTGTTTATTTGTTTATTTTTACCGCCAACATCTTTAGCCATGCCTTTCTGCTAATTGATTTTAGCAAGTCGAGGTAAAACACATGCATTATTTTCTAGCAAAAGCGTATGCTGAACAATATGTGATGATACTGTCTGTCATCCTTGGGGTCCATTTTCCTTTATCACACTGAGAGCAAGCAGTGAGACTGTGATAAGCCTGGGGAAAAAAATAAGACTAACCAAATAGACATGGCATTCCCATCTCAAAGTGCAAAAATCACTGCGTGAAAAACGAGGGCATTGAAAAATTCCAGTGGTTAAAAATGAATCGAAACCACATAACGCACGCAGTGGAAAACAGATTGAAATTTCACTGAGGATGTCAAGTTTCAGAAACTCAGAAAGGCACAATTCTAGCCATCTTGACTGGATAACACTTGTATATGCACATCTCTAGAACTTTCAAAGGTTAATACTGTTTTAGTGCCCCCCCCCAAACAAACAAAACCCCACAAATGCACCTTTCTTTCTATTCTTGACAAATATTCGTGACTTAGAAGACCAAGTCCCTAGGTGCATACCACTTGTGTCCACACTGTTCCACTGCACAGGTGGTACCTGGGGCAGTTTGGAATGCTGGTTGTCATGATCGCCTTTATTAGTTTACTAAGAACAATAAAAAAAAAATACTGTGTTTAGGATAAGGTCACATGGCATCTAATCAGAGGAGAGTGGAAAGGAGGCACTGCCTTCTAGACTCTGTAGGCTCCCTGTCCTGTGGTTCTTCTCCACTTGGTTTGACGTCCTCTCTGTGATGCTGGAGGAAATAGGCGGCCCCCTGGCGGACTCTCTGATCACCAGATCAGTGGAGTTAACATCAGGACGTGCAGGAAGAAGCAGCTGATCTTCGGAAACATCTTCCTTTGGACGATCATCCTGGGGACGGCCCTTCGGCTGCCTGGGTCTAGGCTGTACCAGCTCTGTCATGCCATCGCCGCTGAAATCAGTTTCAAGGTGATTGATCCCTTCATGCTCCATCCATTTGTCAGTTTTATGATTTCTCCAGTGTTCAGAATCCAAACGATGAACTTCGGGAATGTCGTTGTTCCATTCAAGTTGACTGTCTGGACTGAATGTTGGTCGGCTGGAATGCAGGGTGGGAAGGTCAGCCAGCAAGGTCAAAGGAGGCGCTTCCCTACCCCTACCCCTGGGGTCTTCATCCATCTCTGCTGGGGCCAAGAGGTCAGCAGACACAGCCAGGAACCCATCACTTGGAGCACTTTTAGTCTCATTGGCTTGGTTTTGCTCATGGTGACTGTTCAGCAGTGCAAATACTCTATCTACATCCTTCAAGTAATTAGTCCAGTCAGCCAGACTAAGTCTATAGTTTTGTCTGTCCTTGTAGGCGCTTCCATTCACACTGTATACATCCTCAGGGCCTTGCCAGTTGCCGTCTGCAGTGAGACTGGGCAGATTAACCTTCCCATCCATCCCATAACTGTCCTCTGTGAAGAGAGATGAAGGTGGATCATTAGTGAGAAAATACGTTCAACCTATTGAATAAGTAACTTGCACTGTTTTTGTGGCACAAAGCAATTTGAAATAAAACATGGAAAAGTATGTGTCTCTAGTAATTTGTTATCAAGGACTGGCCTTAGGTTACAGGAGTGACTTAATGAGAATGAACTTTGGAAAGAAGGCTGAACGAGTGAGGAATTCTATGACAGGCTTGGTTGGTACCGGGAATACACTGGTAATATCTGTCAGAGGGCTTATGATTTACTCCTGGCTCTACTCAATTCACCTCTATAACCGGGAAATCAAGTTTGTTAGTCCCTCTGAGTCTTGGTCCCTCATCTGCCAAATATAGCTATGTGTTAAAACCTTTATTACATACAGAGCCACTAGATGAATGATGTTGCAGAGTAATTTAATGTCATAGACAACACTTTGTAAGATATTTTTATTATTTTATACTCCCTGACAGTATAAAGGCACATTTGAATGCAATTAAATATTTGCATCTATTTAACTTCAAATTAGATCTGTTTCTTTGATTGTTTTTGTTTTTTCTCTAAAAATTCTATCCTTTAAAGAAACCAACCACTGAGTGGTTTTGCACAGCATTCAGTGAATCCACCGGCTTTCTCACTCTGGTTTTTCTACATCATCAAGATGACTATAGTTCTGCAGAAAACAATGTCTTTTCCCTAGGTGTGCCCAAGTACCACTTAAGAAGAGGTGGCCTAGATGAAGGCAGTGAACTACCTAGAAAGCAGTACAGAGAATCCTAGAATCTTCAAATCACCTGTAAGTTAAAAAAAAAAAATTAATACCGAATCCCAGTAGAGCTGTGTGTCACACTTTGGGCACCAGCCCTGGGAAGACTGTATAGAAGAGAAAAGAAGGAAGTGAGAATGGGATCAAAGACAGATTTGAAACCCTTGCTGGAAAGAATGTCAACCTGTGGTATAAAACTCTGTCCAGTCTCGGTAAACTGGGGTTGTGACAATGAAGAAAAGACTGAAGGGAGCATGAATGGAGATGACAGTCTTGAAAGGCATCACTTTGGGGGGGAAAGGATACAAAAGAAGAGAGAAATGGCCTTCAAAAACTGGGTGATAAAGGGAAAAAGAAGCCAAAAGGGTGAGATTTCAGTCCTGTAATAAAAAAAGAGAAATAGACAAACCGGAGGACACACAACCTCTTACAACCCCATCCCCAAATAATAATACAATAAAAAGTAAAAAAAAAGTATGCTTGGTTACACTGACAGAAAAGGATCTTCTTAAACTAGGCATCTTGGAAATACTTGAAGTCCCTGAAATTAATAAAAGCAGTCTAAATATAAACACAATTGTTACAAAAGAAAATAAAAAATAAGTATAAAAAGTCTACCATCTTATGAAAGTGTCCCTGCCAAAATAAACCGGAAAGTGAAGAAAACTGCAACATAATGCTGTTAAGTAAATGAAATCTTCTCAATCAAGTATCCGAGGATGTGAAAGCCACCTTAGATCAAACATTAAAGTATGAACCAAGGATTGTATATCTAGCCAAGCTCTCCTTTAAGTATCAAGGCTACAGGAAAATAGTTTCAAACATGGAAGAATGCAAAGAGCATGGGACACATCAGCTCATCTTGAACAGTCTCCCAGAGGATGAGTTTCATTCAATCAAGAAATCACTGGGGAAACTTCAGCAAAAGGATAGGTGGTGAGCATTTAACACATTTATCAGGTCCAGGAGTGAAACAAAATTAATAAGGCAAAGAACAGAAAAATGACATATCTAATTAATAAATATTGATAATATATAAAAACCCTGGTTCTTTAAAAAAAAAAAAGGATCCAAACAGTAACTAGCTCACCTAATTATGAAAAAAGGGACCAATTTCAAATAGACAAAATAGAAAATGACAAGGGAGAAATAATGATTGAAATATACAAAATTTAAAAAGTAAACAAGTACTCTGGAGACATCAAAGCAAATCAATGGAAAAAACCTAGATGAAACATAATTGTCTAGGAAAATATGTTTTATTGAAATTGATCCAATAAAGGTAGAAAGTTTAAACAGAACAAGTCCCAAAGAAGGAAAATAAAGGTTTATTAGCTTTATATAATTATGTAAGTTTATAAAAACTACTTAAGAACTTTCTATCAGTGTTATAAGAACTATGCTACAAAGAAGCTTCCCTGGTGGTTCAGCAGTAAAGAATCTAGCTGCCAATGCAGGAGACATGGGTTCAATCCCTGGGGTGGGAAGATCCCCTGGAGGCAGACATGGCAACCCACTCTAGTATTCTTGCCTGGAGAATTCTATGGACAGAGGAGCCTGGTGGGCTACAGTCCACCGGGTTGCAGAGAGTTGGACATGACTTAGCGACTAAAATAACAAACAACAAAGAAGCAACAGGTCACTATAGTTTCACAGGAGAATTTTACCAAGCCTTCAAGGAAAAGAACATCTCAATGCTATACTAACTGTTCCAGAGCATAGACGATCATAGCAAACTGTGAAGCTCTTTCTACGAAGCAAGTCTAACTTTGTTCGCTGTGGCAGGCAGGAGAGTGTACTCACCTTCCAAAGATGTCCACATCCTAATCCCCAGAAACTAGGTATTGTTGCCTTACTTGCAAAAGGGACTATACAAATTTGAACTAAGTTATGGATTCTGAGGTGGGGAGGTTATCCTAGAGTAGCCAGGTGGGGCCAATGTCATCCCAAAGGTCCTTTTTAGGAAAAGGAGGGCAAGCGAGTCAGAGAAAATGTGACCTTGAAAGCAAAAGGGTGTGTATGTTAGCAGGGGAACAGGTAGGTGTTGAGACTTGAAGATGCTGAATTTTCAACTTTGAAGATAGAGGAAAGGGCTGTGAACAAGGAATGCAGGAAGCTTCTAGAAGCTGGAAAAGGCAAGGAAATGGACTCTTCTCTAGAGGCCTTAGAAGGAACACAGGGATTTTAGCCCAGTAAACCATTTCAGACTTCTAACTTCTAGAAATGTCAGAGAATAGGTTTGTGTTGCTTTAAGGCATGGGGTAGGAATTACTTGATGGTATGATGGAAAAGAATCTGCCTGCACAGTAGAGACCCTGGTTTGATTCCTGGGTCAGGAAGATTCCCTGGAGAAGGGAATGGCAACCCACTCCAGTATTCTTGCCTGGGAAACCCCATGGACAGAGGAGCCTGGCAGGCTTCAGTACATGAGGTCGCAAAGAATCTGACACAACTTGGCAACTAAACAACAACAACAGGCATGAGGGTAATCATTAGTTATGACAGTAATAGGAAACCAATACCTAAAAAGATAGCATAGCATAAACACAAAGACAGTTTCAGACTGAATCATTTCTAAGATGACACAAAAATCCTAAATAAAATATTAGTGAAGAGAATTCAATATTATATTAAGAAAATAACATATTATGGTCTAGCAAAATTTATTCCAGAAATGTAAAGTTAGTTGGTCCACTCTTAGCAAATCTATTAATATAACATATCGTATTAGTAGATCTAAAGAGAAAAATTATCTGAGTATCTACATAAATGCTGAAAAGGTTTTTGACAAGCTCAACATTCATTAAATACCAAAAACACTAAAAATTACAAAAAAAAGAATTGATGGTTATTTCCCTAAAATAACAAAAACATATATATCTTAGTCCTAAAGCCTGCTTCTCACTTCACTTCATGGAAAAATCCTGAAATTACTTTCACTAAGAACAGGGACAAGATAACATTGTACTGAAAACATTAGCTTATTCAATTAGATAAATCAATCAGACACATAAATGGGAAAACAAGCAAAATTATCTCTGCAAATGTTTGACAGTATACCTGGGAAATCCAAGAGAATACATGACAAAGCTGACTGAAAAAAAATTTAAAAGATGGCAGGTAGTAAAATTAATGTACAGAAATCAAAAGCCCTCATACACATAAACAATTATCAAGTAGACGTTTTAATAATGGATGAAAACTTTATGCAGTAACAAAAACGATGAGGTGTTTATAAATACACTTAACAAGAAATGTGCAAAACCTTTAAGAAAATACTTTTTAAAAGCTCCTGAAAGACCCATAAATATAAAGACCCATAAATATACTTGGCTAAATGGAAAAATGTCCTGTTTGACAGAGCATCTCAAAGATATAAATTCTTTTCAATAATTAATATTTTATAATAACTATATAGTTATAACTTCTAAAAATTGTGAATCACTATAAAGTACACCTGTAACTTATGTAATATTGTACATCAAATATATTTCAATAAAAAAAAAACCCAACTCTTCCTGACAATTCTTTCAGAAATCAGATAGAAAAATGGTCAAAGGCAGAACCAGATGATCTACAAAATATGCCAAGTTTGCAGTTGGTGTGAGTTAACAATTCTGCAGTTCCTCCCTGCGTGCCGCAGCATTTAGAAAATGACCGAGTCCGCCGAGGATAACAGGAACTGGATTCCGGGGCCCACCTGTTCCCCCGGGCACACTTCCGTGCCGGGTGCAGCGCCACCCAGTGGCCCTGGTCCCGACTCACACTCTTAGCCCCAGCGCAGGTCCCCTTCATTGTCTTAGGAAGCCAATCTCACCTCCGACCCTCTACCTTCAAACCCTGGTCCTGACTCGTCTCTTGGTTGAGTGCCTTAAAGAGAAAAGGCCAACTGTACTAGCAAGGCAGCTTGAAAAGAAAATGGAGCCCTGAGATGTGACGGAAAGAAGAGAGCTTTCTTAGGGCAACACAGAAAGTTAGTTGCTTAATTGTGTCTGACTCCTTGAGAACCCATGGACTGTAGCCCGCCAGGCTCCTCTTTCCATGGGATTCTCCAGGCAAGAATAGTGGAGTGGGTCGCCATTTCCTTCTCCAGGGGATCTTCCCAACTTTGGGATCGAACCCACGTCTCCTGCATTGACAGGCAGATTCTTTACTGTCTGAGCCAGCAGGGACGCTCAGGACAACATAGAGCAGGGCAGAAAAGGCTGCATTTTCTCCTTTTGAT